CGCAATCACGACATTGATAGTTTTGTTTTTGAAACACCGTTTACACTTGGCGGTGGCCAATCTCAAAGTGGCCCCCGCGAGCAATGGAAACGACAGACAATTATAAAAAGTAAATATTTAGTATATATTATTCTATAAAATAAAAATTATAATAAACAGCAACAGAGCAAAACTTATAATGAAAATTTATTATTCTCTAGCTGAGTATAAATTTCCATACGTCAAGAAACGTTTACGAGTATGTGCTAGACGTGAAATAGAACAATGTCCAATACAAGTAGCCATAGATGAAATGTGCCAGCGAGTTCGAGAATTGAGACAAACGGTATCTGCTCAGCCAACGGATGTAAAAAAATTGCAGCTCCGTTTACAAGTAAAAATCTTCTTCTTATAATATCATGTTCCAAGCGTAAATATTTATAAAAAATATTAATTATTATTATTGTACAATTTTTCATTCAATCTTTTTTATAAGTATATTATATCATTTTTGCTATATGAATACATGAACATGGTATTGGTATAAATCATAATATAGATAAGACATATTGGCAACCCTTATATATTAGCTAAATATACATTTTTAGGCCATCTTTACCCTAACCCAGTGGCGCAGCCAGGGGGAGGCTGAAGGGGCTGCAGCCTCCCCCCGAAATGTTAATACAATTTAAAAATTATTTTAATGGTCTATGGTATTCTATCAAAAACTAAACCACCGCTGTGTAAAAAATTGATCAGCCCCCCCCCCCCCCGAAAAAAAATCCTGGCTACGCCACTGCCCTAACCTAACGATGGTTTGCACTCGAACCAAAATATCCAACGACAAAGAAACTAACATTTAAACCAGAAAGAAAAAAGATGTAACGATGTTGCTATCAACATTGATATTAGGAACATAGTTATTATGTATTGGACTACAGATTTTTAAAGAATATCGTATCTTTACATTTAATATCAATTCTATTGTTTTGTTTTTGATGATTCAAAAATACTTTTTTTGGGCATTTGAAAATTGTATTCATATGTTTTATTAAATTTTATACCGGTCGATTCTTTTATCATAAAATACTTATTATTTCAAAACCAATATATTTATCGCTCCACTAAAAATCTAGATATTTGTGTATGTATTTGTTTTATTAAACTTACAATTAATTAATTTAAGTAAGAAATTAAATAATGGATGCATATGTTATGCGATATATCTAGGATAAATTGAACATCTTGTTAGAAAATGTATAAATGAAAATTTATTAATCCAGATTCTTTCTTCATTTATCTAGCAGCTTCTTATAAAAATAATGTAAAAGTTTAGACTTTGCGATAATATTTCGTTTATAAGACGTATTTTTACTATATTTTATATAAATAAATAATAATATATAATAGTTATGAATAGGCAGTATCTATAGCAAATCGTTAAATGTGGTTAAAGATTTAATTACTTCCAAAAGTTTGAGGTATTAATACTTATATTATATACAGTTATATAAATATTTTTCCGTGTAAAAAAAATGTTCATCACTGTAGACAATTTTTATTGACTCATTACAGGGAAGTGTTTGTGTTCAAGTCAATGCCGGTCCTTTGGCATACGCTAGAGCGTTTTTGGAACCACAAGCTGTGCTCGAATTGCAGGCCGACAAAGTTCAAGACCTCAAAGATACGTTTAGGTGAGTTCATACAAATATTTTATTATACGATATGCGTATTTATGATATTATGTTTAAAACAACTATTCTGTATAACGATAATGTATAAAAAGTACTAGAATAAATGCATATAAATTATTCTGATCCAAGGGCAGAAGGAGTTCACGTGGATATACGATGCACCAAACCATATTTTATTTATAGCAAGTTAAAATCTTCGCTTGAATTGCACGTATTGCTGTTAAAGACGTAGTCGAAGTAGTGATTATTGACATTGTTATAATTTATTTTTTAATTTGTCTGACTCGATAGAAGACTCTAGCTGTGAGTATATAGGTCAAATTATGTAGGTAAATGATGATGAAATTAACTGCAGCTAGTGGTCAGAGGCTCTGACTCAGAGCACATACTGCACAAACATTTACCTACATCAAACGTAGATCGAAACTTCATTTGAAGGTTAATAATTTTTTTAGAATAACATTAAACTCAAAACGATTATTTCTAACGATGAGTATGCCTAATTGTATCGCGTAATTATAGTTTTCGCCCATAATATAATGTAACTTCCAACTTATTAACAGCCATTCACATTGATTCACATTCGTGTACAGTTTTTACATTTTACTAAACATCAAGCACGAACATTTCCCCGTTTTGATTGGAAAAAATTGATAATTATTATACCTATATTTTAATCGTTATTTGTTTTTTTTGTGTTTTTAAAAATCAGAGAATTTATCAGCGCATGTTTCGATGCGTTGAAGTTGAATAGAATGTTAGTATCTACCGATCAAATCGAATATCAAGATGTGATGCAAGAAAACTTTTTGAAAATGTGTCGGGAACTTTCGGAGTGCATTGAAAGCGATTCGCTGTGGCGAGATGTGTTGCAATCCTGTACGTCTCCCAGTAACGATAGTCGAACACTGTTTACTGCAATTAGCGGTGCGAGTCAAGATTCGTCAAACGCATAACACCTGTAATACAGCTCTAATTTAAATGAAGTATAATTTAAATAGGGATTCATTTTTATTCTTCATATTGTTACTAACCCAAATTAAATTATTTAATGTTATTATTATTACTATTATTATTATTTATTTATTATTATTATTATTATTACATACAATTTGACTATTTATTATTATGACTACCGCCATTGTATAACTATCGCCTCTCCAACTTTGCCATTGGGGCCTTGTTATTATTTTAATAAAGTATTTTTAAAGAAATTATACTACAATATAGCTGATAATCTATCTTACCTGTAATTTGTAATGTGTAAAATATTTAGACGTATTAAAGTTAAGTTAGGCTTATTAAGTTTAAATATGTTGTTCAATCATATTGAGACATTAATTCAATCAAATTATGGACAAATATCCTTCTACACATTATATGTGTACAGTTTTTATTATATCTAATGCAATTGTCCAGAATAAGATCAATTAAAATTAATTTTTTATACTGTATTATGGATATATTATAGGTAAGTTTAGCGTTTGTCAGATTTGTATGTTCTTTTAGATTACATAAATAATTATTGTTATGTAATAACTTTAATGAGAAAATATTGTAATTTATAACTTATTGAGAAAAAATAAGGAATATATTTGTTGAAAAATAAATAAAACATAAATTGTCACATATTTCATATTTGTCATAAGTATCATAACTCATAACTCTTAAGTAATAATATACCCATCTAGATATATTAATATTCTATAAATTGAAACTTGGTACTTAAGTGAGTATTAGTCTTGTATGCTACTTACTGTTAAGATTTGACAGTATTAAAAATACCTACCTAATTAAAATCTATTATCTAATAATGTGGTGAAGGAAAACATATTGTTGATATCAAATTAATAAATGTTGCTTTAACTATTTTTCACTGGTTTATAGTTTATATCAGAACATAAGACAGAATTTTTTTGATGAGGGGGAGCTACAATATTTTATTACTAGGGCCACGGTACTGCCAAGTATAGTAAGTCTGACATTTTTTTTTTGGGGGGGGGGAAGCTTAAGCCCCCCTAGCTATGGCACTGATTTATATCAATCAATTTAATTTATTTTAGGTACATTTTAAAGGTAACTAAAAATATAATTTAGCTGATGCCTGATCCACATTAGGTGACGTGTAGGCCACTGTAAAAAATGTGTTAAATTTGAAGTAAAATTTGAATGTAAAACAATCTGAGCAAAAGTGTATCAGCCTCTATTACTATGTTTATTTCATGATGTATTTATATTGATACTAAGGTAATTTATTTTACTATATTAATGTTGTAATATTATTATTGGTAAATGGTAAGTTAATTTAATTTCTGCCCAAAACTGCATTTGAAAATGTCATTGTGGTATAAAATATAATATTTTAAGTACAAATTTCCCAAACCCCATAAAAAATATTGTTGAATCACAAAAAATATCTAATTTCGTTCAAATTTGAAAATAAGATTTCTTTAAAAAATAAAAACAGTTTATATATATTTTAGATACAGGATGAATTATTTGCAATTTTTGATGAATTTTGTTGAAATTTGAACCTTAAGATCTTATAAAAAATTGATACCTAACTAAGAATTAATTTCTATTTCATTTAAATAATAATATATCATTGTTAGAGCATTACATTTGTCAGATACAAATAAGAAAATTTTTATATTAAATATATACTTTTATTTGACAACTTATATCCCCAATAACTAAATTACATTTGATACTTTTTAATATCAGGTATGTATGTAATTTGCTACTTTTAAATTTAATGAAACACAAGCAGCAATATCTTCATCTGTCTCTGTTTTGATTTAATCATATCCACAGTAAAAAATGAACTTTAACAACTGTATGTCAATGCGAATGTTGAAAGCATAGAATGGGTAAGTATTATCAGTAAAAATATAATTGAAAGTGACTATCAATATGTTATTTTTATATTAAGTATTGTCAAGTGTCACTAATGGGTGGCTTCTTATTGAAAATTTGCATTTTAATTGTATTCTGTTATCACATACGTATATTGTGCTAAACAGTCTAGGCCTTTTCCATACATGTAGCATGTCATAGATCTACCACCTTTGCCCTATAGGAACTTACAAAGTTTCTGTAACTAGAAATAATATGTCTATTCATCTTCAATGTATATCTATTATCTGCCACTGTTTTCTATACACTTAACATAAGCTGAGAAATTTATTCACACAACAAAAACAATATATTGGATTTATTTAACACTAACACACACATGTAATGTATGTTTAGGAGTGTATCATCATATCTATAGTTATAAATCATATAACTTTTAAAGAAAAAAAAAATTAATAAAAACCAGCAAAGTAAATTGTGTTGCTTTTATATTAACAAAAAAATATATAATGATACTTATTTACCTATGATGAGTAATATTTTTATCCCAAAAATTGATTTGATCATAAATTTTGAGTTTTAGTAATTACAAATCTTTTGCGTCTTAATATACATGTAAAAATATAATATATAAATAATACACAATGAATTACATCTTATTTATTGATTATTATATTTAAAAAAATTATTAGTAGTACAAAATCATTTTTCGAGCGGCGCATAATTGAGAAGCTTTTCAATCAAATCAACATGACCGAGTAACATACGTCTACAACAATACCGCTTGAGTCCAAGTGCATCCAGAGCATCACTGAAAAAATAAAATTTTAAAATTTATAGGTAAATCGGAATAAATTGATAGCCATGATCAAAACAAAGTACAAACATAATTAAAGAAAATGTTAAAAATTGACATGTAAATTACAGAAAATATTGGAAGTTTTCACATGTTTAATTATTGAGTAATTGTGTACGTTAACCTATTATGGGGTTACCAGATTATATTTTTTCAAACCTGGGACATTTTGACATTTATAATAAAATAATATTTACTTTTTTATGTATATATATATATGTTACGGACAAAGTAGACTTTCGGGCAGTGTTCACATTGCCCGGTCTATGTATACTTTGCCCGCTGTTTTTGGGCAATATATTAAAATACTATTTTGACCGGTCCATGTATACTTTGCCCGTAGTAAATTAGACATTGTAACTTAAACTATCAACTATAATATTATGAAACCGTTGTCTGTTAGTATTTCAAATACCTATACTAATATGAGCCACGAGGTACCAATATACAAAACTCAATATTATCTCGTCAATTATCGTAGTTTCAAGATTATATTATCGGTAAATTAATTGTTCCAGTGAGTAATGAAGGTTAGGTTAGTACTATGTTTTTAATGAAGAATTATTTAATGTAGAATTATTTATGTATTATTTGATGTAACTGTAATAAAAAATATAATGATAATTGTAAAAATAAATAGTTAAGTTAATAATAATAATATTCAAATAATAAAGTAATTAACAAGATCGATAAGATTAGAAATGTTTATAATTATAATATAAAAACTTTTGGTTTATATTGCCCCAACTAGACTGGGCAATTCTATACAGCCTGGACAATGTATAATTTTGCCTACATTGCCCACCATAATCGGGCAGTACCAGAATGACCAGGCAATGTAAACATTGCCCGAAAGTCTACTTTGCCCTAACATATATATAGGTGTATAAATTGTTTTGTATGAATCATGTATACAAGCAATATAATGATAATAATAATAATTCTTATTCTTAGTCTTTGGAACTTTCGGAGTCCAGGGTTTTTCTGTTGATTTTACTACATAATTAGCTGATCCATGAACTTGTTTTGATAAAGACTTGTTTCCCAAAATTTGGTCATAGAGTTCTTCACAAGATGAATAAAATACTTATAATTATCGCGAGTATATTTTTGCATTTTGTAATTTGTAGGAAGATAATGTTTTCTCATGATTTAAAATCGGTATTTTATCTAGTAAATTCTTGAAACCGAGACAAATTGCTGTCCCGAAACACTTTCTCGGGACACCGGGACAATTGGTTAAAAACTGTGTCATGGCAAAACCGAGATGTATGGCAAATAGTGCATATCAGGAAATCGGAAACTTACATGACAATGCTTCTACATTCAAGCTAGGGAGAAATTACATGTACTAGTTTTTCCATTTTCATTATTAGTATCTACCTACTTATTAAACAGAAATTTGCAACAAAAATAAATGTTTATGTCGGGGGAGGGGTCCTATCTCACCGTATTATTTATAAGCCGCCACATCGATCATACAAATGCAATACTTAATTAACCAACATTCATACAAAGCATTGTCTAATGATAAATTAAATATTACATTACACAACTCACCCTTCTGTGTATTCGGCTTGTAGTAAGCCCAAGTAACTCTCCCATTTGTTTGCTATGACCTTTCCACATGTGAAGCACCGAATCGGAATGATCATTTTGATTGATTTGCTGCAAAAACTTCCCTGTTGGCTTATTAAACAACAGTTAAACGAATGTCAAATTGTCAATAAACAAAAAATACTAAATTGTAAAATATTACGGTTTGTTATCTGGTATCTACGAACGGTACTAACTACGAACGCGGGACGCGGGTTATCGGCATTCGGTGCAATGCTGGGGCGATGCGTTCCGTTTAGAACAACAGTGCAGTGCACTGACGGGCGACGAAAGCGTGGTTTACGAACCTACGGCGCAGGCGCAACAAGCCGATCAGAGCCTCCACGACTATTGCGCAGTAAAATAATAATAATAATTTCTCTATCACATGTGCCCAGAGCCCCCTCCACAGATTACATCAGAATTGAGCACTGAGTGCATATTATTTTGCCGGTTTCCACTGCATGCTTGGCGTACCGACCTACCATTAGCGAGGTTTCAGACGACTGGGCGAGTTAATACACACTGGATAGTTCATTATTTCGATCAGTCGGCCATTTCAGGAGACTGGAGATCAAGAACGTCATTCATATTTCACATCTATCGGTACAATACTTCCCGCCGCGCTACATAAAGTATCTTACGTGAGTACTGTAAATCTTATTGTTTATTTATCGTCGTCATTAATCGCGGGCCGTGGTACAATATTAACACGTAAACCGCAGGCGATCACATCGTCTATCCTTCGTACAAACAACAAACTGTACGAATTCTAGGACGATAAACAACAGAATTTTACACCAGCACATTGCCGGTCCTGTCAGGTTCGTGTAATAAATGGAAGATATAGTGTTCGCCGCATTTGCAGCTGCAGAAGCGTCCACGTTCGCAGCGACCGCGGCCAGAGAAGCAGCATCCGCTGCCACTGTAGCAGCCAACGCCGCCACGTTAGCGGAAGCGGCTGACGCATCAAAAGCAGCCAACATCTCGGCTTCGATAGCAGTGACTGCAGCCGCATCAGCAGCAGTCGCCGCCGAAGCGTTGGCAGAAGTTGTAGCTGAAGCAGTACACGTTGAAAGGGAACTGTTGGCCGAACGTACGGCTGCTGCTGCGTAAGCCAGACGCGCACACCGGTCAACGTCCAATTAATCCACCACACAATTTGGTTAGGTGGGTGGCACGTCAACCATCTCCTTGGCTTTTCCATCTGGTGCACCAGGTACAGACTCGTTTATTTATAATCGCATTCTGCATAGCTATTTGACCGGTGTACTGAATTCCGTTGTTTCTTTTAAGGCCAGTTTACACTTATCAAAGTAGCCACGTCCGTGAACCACGGATCAGTGTAACTTTGATTCGAGCACTGACGACAGTGTTTACACTGTCAAATTTTGTCTGTCCAAGTAAAATATAAAATAATAAAATGTTCTCCCCACGTACGAGAATTTTGATACATGTCCGTGCCGGTACGGATCGGACAACACGACTTGTACGAGTTTGTCACACGTATGCGTGGTGTGTTTATAATATCAAAGTAGAATCCGTGCCGCTCATTCGTGGGTTCACGGACGTGGCTACTTTGATAAATGTAAACCGGCCTTTAAACTGCATTCTTTTTAATTGTGTATGTATTGGTTTGATATGTAGTGACAAAAAGCAAAACGAGGACCACTATAAAATCCATCATGATTATCAACACTCCTGTAAGTATAAGGAGGTACTCATTCTTTACCAACATTAATTTAGGTTCTTGTTGATTAACCATACTTACATGATTTGTTTGTACAGGCTTATTCTATTTCGGATTCCGTCTCTTTGGACGAAAACAATGGGGAATTTCATACCTCCCCTTCAGTGTATGAGCCAGCTGAGGACACGTTTCTGATGTTGGATGTTTTTGAATTGGACTTGGAGCACGTAATTAAAAACCGGTTGTTAAAAACAAATTCGGATGATGGTTCGTCTGCTAAATGTGGACCACTGATGGTTGTTGAATTAGGAAGTGGTTTTGGCATCCTTACTGCTGCTATATCAAAGGCGCTGAGTGATACACTTTCATCGATTGCTGTTGGAGCTCACTGTATAGCTGTAGACATAAATCCAACTGCTTGTCTTAAAACCATTATGACATGCAAACTTAATGATGTTGAAGTTAGTGTATATTTATATTATTATTTTTAAATATTATAAATGATTGTGAATTTGTGTTTTTATATTACCTAGGTGGATGCAATACGTGGCGACCTACTGACATGGATGCGACGTCCTGACACTACCAATATTAATAATGACGAAGAAGTGTATGGCCCCATTGATATACTTGTATTCAATCCGCCATATGTTCGAGGCCCTGAGGGTGAACGTGCACCAACACCTAAAGTAACAAAAATAAAAACCAAAGACCAGGCGCTTGATAATCAAAAGCTAGTAGTGATGGAAGATGCCGCTTGGCTGGGTGGCGGCCCAGATGGTGTAGATGTGCTTAAGAGGTTAGTATGAGTGTATGACTACTTCATGTACCTGGCAGCTATACCTATATCAAAATAATAATTTGTGTATGATTTTTTTTAATTAGAGCCCTGCATCAAGCAGCAGATCTTCTATCAGAGTATGGAGTTTTCTATGCCCTAATGATTGATTACAATTATGATGCACTAGTACGAGATGAGATTCAAGCTCGGCATAAACGAGCTGACCAAAATATTTACTATGACGACTTGAACAATATAGAGTTGACAACTTTTGGAAGCAGCCCTGCTAGCAGACCATTAGTATGCACTCGTATCTTGTCCCGGAACATCATTGGTGAACGCTTAGCTGTATACCGAATTTATCGACCTAAAGATTTTAATTGATTGCACCCTACATAATTTTGGACTGATTACTATTAAAATGCATTAATTTTATTAACATTCCTTTATATTTATTTTTCATTTTATATTTGACATATTGTTATCATTATACTCCTTTATGGGCATTCACTGTGGTACTTACTGTATCCCATTCAATTTATTTCTATTAAACTTTATATTACGCAATTCAGTTAAATTAAAAATATTGATACAGAGTTTATTTCATACATAAGTAAATATTTTTTTATGTTGTAAAATTTAAATATATTGCTATAAAATAATTCATTCATTCAATTTTTGTTTAACTTATTTCAATTTTGTAATTTTTATCAATTTTTTATTTTTTTATTTTATTAAACCTTGAAGCCAATTAATTAATGAAAATATTATTTATACTCGTAACATAATTAATTATTTGTTTTATATTAAAAATATTTAAATACATTTACTTTTTGTTTGAAAAATTACATAAAAAATACATTTATTTTATAGTTTTCAATTTATTAAGAATTATAAAAGTTGTAAAATATCAATAAATATTCTTTTTTTTTATCTTTTCAAGTTAAAATATTTTTGTAATATATTTTGTACTTGGATAAGAAATGAAAAATATTTTTACTGCATTTCAATTACGTCTTGATATTTATATCTATTTCATATTTCAACATAATAAAAATAAAAATAATCCTAAGTACTTAGCATATCTTTTTTTTAAGTGAATATCTATAAAAATGTATTATTTATACTAAGACATTTTGCACTTAAAACACAGATTACTTGGCTAATTATGTTTGATGATATTAGATGTTTAAAAGATGAATTTGTAATGAGATCTATAAATATTAAATCATGAACTCCATCATTCCACCTAACTATATTGTCAGCCATGGTAATCACATTGAAATTTATTTGAAATAACTGTAAGTGTATAACAATTTTTATCATAGAATATAAAATATAAAAGTTATTTAAGACGTTTATTCTACTTTTATTTGAAATTTAAATATTTAATATAGTTTAATTTCTTTTTACTTTAATTTTTATGAATTTTATACCTCTAACAACAATAGTTTTCAAGCATTTGTGTCAACCAATTTTTTTTTTATCCGTTATCTGTTCGACGAATGTTTCATTCAAATATATTATGGTCAACTTTTTTAGTTGTCTTTAAAATGTCCTTAGCTTACAATTCCTTTAGAAGTTTAGATTATTATTCTTAGTTTTGTTTTTAATGATTAGGGCAGATGACTTGTAACTATAACATATCACCAATTATGCATTTGAATACCCAAAATATACATTTCCTTGCAACATAAAAAATAAAATCAAGAATATTTTTATGCTTTTTGTGTATTTTATCTAACTGGATTTATTGATTTATTATTTTGAATTAATTTTATTTTTGTTTGACATGTTACAACTTAAGATATTAAAGCATTAAATTTTATTATAATTTATAAAATCATCAGGCCTCTAGGAAAAACGTGCTACGGTGTGGCCAATCAAAAACCATATTATACGACAATCATAAAAAATAAATCTGTGTTTAGGTTGTACTATATGAATATGTCAGTGGAAAATAAATTGAATTATTGACTAAGTGAAAATATGTTAAAAATTCAAAATATGCATTTATATGCATAATAAAATTTAAAAACTTAGTGAAAGCATGAAACATATTTATTTGTACTCTCTTTTTTTATAACTATGCAAAACAGATACATACAAATGCTACAAGTCTTTTACCCTAATAATGGTATTTTAAATTTTAAAACAAAATGATATGTGAGTAGTTAACTTCTTAACCTTTAGCTTTCATTAGTATGTTCTCAAATATTCTAGATTCGACATAAAATTATAACATGTCATTAAATTAGCTTAAATGATACAAATGTTATCCCAATTACGTTTTTAATTAATGGATTGTTTCAGTGGGAGTAGATTTATTTATAAATGTATGATTTATTTTATGATTTTTAGTGAAATAGTATTGTATTTTTATTCATTTTTAAAAATTTATTTGTTTTTAACGCATCTTAATTAGTAGTCCTGGCTCTTATGATCAGCACAGGCCTTAGACTGGCACCTTTTTACCGAATCGTCCCGAAACTCGTTTGACTATCCGATGGTCCTCAGGAGATCTACTAACGCGACGGAATTAGCTTTCAGAATTAGCTTTCGCCCTCAGTGTCAGCAACCAGCGCCTGCCGAGTGGCTCGTAGCCCGTAGGCCTGGTTGAGCTAGGTGCTGAGAACCATAGTGTCGCTTTAGTCGGAACACTGCAAAAATAACGTACATTACATAATATAAATTATACACTACGACATAACTGCATAATAAGAAACCCAGAGCTGGATTTTGAGAAACTGTCGTCTTTTTAAATATACCACACAACAAGTCAAATAGAATTAACCAATTAAAATAAATTATAATAAATTACAAGAGAAAAAACACATTTAAGAATATATGAACACAAATTGTATATTGTCTACAATAATTAAAAACTTTAATACATATTACATACCTATATACATTTTAAAAACTCTTTTTTTAGTCGAATTTTTTCTAAAACCTTAGTAACTCGAAAACCTTAGTAAATCGAAAAAATTGCATTTCCGTTGAATTTCGACTTCTAGAGGTTCCACTATATTTATAGTATAGTTATATATATAGTTCTATATGATGTATTTATTTAATATTTAATTGTATACAATATACATATATATAATTATATAGGTATTTTGAACTATTTTTTAATTATTATTATCTTCTTAACATCGTTGTACAAGCCTTATAGAATAATAAATTATAAAATTATATTATATAACTGATTTTTATGTAGGTGGTCTATATTTTTTTCAATAAATTGGAGTATTTATATTATGTAATTGATCAGTCATTTTGGTGATTTCATTATTATAATTTATAAATATATGTAACATAATATGTTTAATTTGAACTATTTATTTTTTCTTATTGTGACTTATACTTTTAATGCTTACTTACGTACAGCACTTTTAGTGAGTGCCGTAGATACAAACAACTTCCTCTCGAAGCATCGTAAATCGTAATTGATGACTTATTAAATAGTTACATTCGAATTGTTTCCGCCACGTTCGATTTAACCTGTCATTAAGGGGCCTGGGAAGATTCCACATTAATTTTTTAATTTTCAGTTAAACTTTTGAAAGATCTGTAGTCCTCTACTTTTTCTAGGCCTTCTTTAGTCACACACTATATAAGTATGTATATAAGCACAATTTGATGGCGCAAATTCCACCAAGTCAATGTGGATAATGAATGGTGTGAATAAGTCTTCATAATTATTATAAAACTAGCTAAAATTAAATGTTATTTTTAATTTAAAAAAAATTACTTACCGGAACTAAAATTTAGCACCCGCGTGTACATACTACTTTATTATCCTTATACATTAGATAAGCAGATGTATTTGGAAATATTGCACGTACACTTGGTTCATGTTGAAAATCTACATACCTATATTTTTTTATTCGATTTCATCGTAAATTCCTTGGAACATATTTCACAAGAACATCGAACTTTTTCATTAATTGATTTTATGTGTTTTTTTCAACGTTTCGTCTTTATTGAAAACTTTATTAGGTACATAGAGGACAACTTATAGGGTCATATATGTGTGGTGATATGCATATAGGTGTAGAATTGGGGGGCTATGAGGGTTATAAGCCCCCCCCCCCCCCAGAATTATGTTAGCCCTCTCGGAATTCACAAAAAGTTCCTGCAGTGTCGTCGATACCACAAGAAAAAAAGGCTATAGGCCCTCTCCCAAAAAAAAAATTCATCAGGCTATATATAGCCTTTTTAACCAGCATTCTCATTATGATTTTATTTTTAATTATTAATTTTTAGTAAAGAGTAGTACAGATTATTACTTTACTGAAAGGATATTTTTATCCTTATAGGAATAAATGAATCGAGAATAAATAATTATGTTCTGTAACTAACCTTATGTTAACGATAAGAAATATATTTCTATATATTTAGTACAATGTAACACCCATACTGGCCAAACTACTTCATAGTTCATTATCATAAACCTTAAAGCCAATGTGTTTGAAAATATGTGTAGGCGCTTATTACAATAGATACTGTTGATGAGCTACCATGTTGAAAATCTACATGTCTTTTTTGATTCGATTTTGTCGTAAATTCCTGGAACAATATCACAAGAGTATCGAACTTTTTCATGAATTGATTTTATGAGTCTTAAGGAGTCATATTTTCTGAAAATTCTATTACCTACATAAAGGACCACTTATCATAGGGTCCATATGTATGTATGGGTACTGGTTGTCTGGTTATACCTTTTTAAGCAGCAATTCTTATTATTAATTTATTTTAAATTATTAATTTGTAATAAACAATGACACAACTTATTATTAAAAAAATGCTATTCAAGAAAACTTCTTCACAAATTAATTATAATAGATACGTTTCCTAATTTACGTGATCAATATAAATCGCAATCCAAATTCGATTATAATAATTATATTTTTAAAATTAAAAACTCTAATCCTAAACTATTTTGGAACTAATTTAATCAAAAAAAATCATTCTCATTAAAATATTCGAATCTATAGTAATCCGATCTACTTTACCCTTTAATAAACATTATTTAAATTTTTCTTAAAATAAGTTATCGATTTTACGATTTATAAGTGGGACATAAAAATAAAGAGAAGAAGTAATTTAGTAATTAGAGACGTCTTATATTACACTTACACTCAACAGAACTACCATAGAACAAATACAGTAGTGATTGATCACCGGTCACCGGTGATTGCAGTGACCGTTGTCACTCGTCGTCATCGCCCGCTGATAAAATATACAATATAATATTCGTTATCGCTATACCGCTGTTATCAGACGATTTGATGGAAACATTGGAAACATTGGTATTGACACAGTACACACCTTTGACTTTACATTATTATAATTATTATTGTGTATCGTATTTACTATTAACTATTTAATTACATTTTATAACTTAGTATTTACTACCACGCCTTGTGCAAACGTCACAATCTGAGTCTAGTGAAGCTCTAACACCTGAGCTATACCCCGTAAGTATATTATGAGCATAAATCGTTATACTTATTGATAATTTATTCTAACACGTTCGCTGTATAGAAAGCAGAACTTCACAATTACCTGAGCCAACTTGAATCCGCGTAGTCCATGGATAACGAAATTTCTGCAGCCGAGTCTATCGGTACCACTGTCCTAGACTTGGCATTGAACCGTTCAGAAGCCGTAACGACAGATTACTCGCCGGACGATGAAGACCTGGATGAGGCGGCCGCTGCTGCCGTCGCCGCATCAGAGGCTACTCGTGACACACTGGCTGACGGTCTGGTTGCCAGTTTGCTCAGGCCGTGTGTTGACCGTTTGGACGCATCTGTCCAGTGTACTAGGTAAAATTATGTGATGCTAATATTTTTATCCTATTCCAATGTCTGATACAAGAATGTACTGCTGTAAATACTGATATCCACTTAATTATTTTTTATCGTATAATTAATTAGTGTTTCTACCATTTATGTCTGTTAGACTGAGCCAACTTGACCTGAAACTACAGCTTGACTCGTTGGCTTCCGAGCTCAAACGTCTGTCGTTGGCACAGCATGACTACTTGTTTGCTACAACTTCAATGTCATCAACGCAGTTGCCAGTCTCTGCTGACAAGACCATTACATCTACAGTGACTACTACGACAAAAAACGCCACTGACACATGTATCTTACTAGATGGGTATGCTCGTAGATTGTGTGACGCACGTGCCAAGATAGCCGTTGTAGGAAATATACTGGAATCTACTCAGGTATTATTGCTACTACTAATACTATTATTACTGCGCTCTTTTTTAGGTAGGGCTCCTAGATTCATAAAGGCCTTCCATCAGGGGTTTGTACTCACCAAAAGTTTAAGAACTGCTGAACTAAACCACTATTTTCTGAGCAAAGTAGGAGTTAAATTGTATTACCTTTTAGAGTGGCTATGTCCAGTGGATATTGCTTATTATAGTTAATACTCTGCTTAATCCACTTAAATTATCAAGTAACACCTTAATTACAGTAAAATAGATGTAAAGTATTTTCACCACTGTTCTATGTATGATCCTTAAGAGAACGTTATACCGGCATGTGTTGTTTCCATCTTTCAAGAGTGTAACATATCAAATTTTACGTTCAGCAGATCACGTTTAGCTCTGTTAGCTTAAAAATTAGAGTAAATTGACCTCTTATTAAAAATAAAGGTAAGATTATTATGGAAGGCTTCTCATAGGCTTTTTATTATATTTCAACGAGTTATGAGTATTTTAAAATTGTAAACTGCTTGTACAACTTAAAAATTAAAATACTTATAACTCGTTTTAAAATTAAAATATGTTAAAAAGTCCATGAGAAGCCTTTCATAATGATCTGCTGAACGTAAAATTTGATATGCTCTTGTTAAACAGAAACAACTCATGCGGGTATAACGTCCTCTTAACTAAAATAAGACATAGATTGATTAATTTTATCATGAAAATATTTTGTACAAAACATAAATGTATTGTTTATAACTGAATATTAAAACTATTTATTACTATTATTTAATATTTTGTAAAATTGAAGTGTATGTAAGTATTTAAAACACTTTAAATTCACTGCCAAGACAAACAAAAAATATATCCTGACAAAATTATTTATTTATGTATTTTTTTTTTTTTGTAATGCTAATAATACAGGAACGCTTGCGAGCGCTTTCTCACCGAATAGGTCGTGAGCACAACAACCGTCGATCACTCCTAGAGCCCCAAGCTGTGGTAATTGATGTAGCAGATGAGCTGGAATTGGAGGAAGAAATTGAAAAGGTAAATGATGATGTAGGAGAGATAAACGATAACAAAGAGGAAGTTCAGCCAAATAAGAACCTCACAGATTCTAATGAGGACAACAAGGAAGAACAACAACCTGAAGAAGATGCTACAGTGATAGAAACATCACCGGAAGCAACAGAAATACCAAAAAAGTCATGATGAACCATAAGTTATACTGGTTCAATGGTGTCTAGGTGTGTGTATGTTTTTCTGTTGATTTAATAAACATAATATTTATTTATGTATTGTGCATAGGCAGATGTAATGCTTTGTGACTTGCTGGCGTTGATGCAGCAGCCTAAATTTGCTATTATCAATGGAAACCACTATTCTAAATACTTCATGAATTATTACTGGGAATTAAGTTTGGTGGAAGCCTCGTGAGCAAGTCCCTGGCATGGTGCTAGCTCTGGGGCCATAATATACCCTGCGATTCATTAGCCGTCTACCAGCTGAACCAGCATCTAGGATTACACTACAGCAATTCTGCAGTTGTTTTATTAACATTCCAATATGTATTATTGTTCTTACCATAATATGTGAAACATAATTCATTGCAAACATTGTACATATTGCATCATGTGCATAAATAATGTGTAAAACATTATGTTGTTTTTTTTTCAACATATCTGTTATTATATAAATTTATTTGTATAACTATGACACCATTGGATTTGATTTTATTGATACAAAATTAATCAGAGTTGGTCTTCATTATATTTGAACTCTGGGCTTGTATAGTTTTCTTTATGTCACAGCCAAAATGTATTTATTTATTTGTTTACTGGGACCTATGGATAATTTTTGTCTCATAAAATACTATGCTGATGCTGTCATGCTGATATTGACTTGGTAGATTTTTATTTTATTTGGCAATACTATACTGTGGCTTACGAGAAGAACATTACAGTTTTGCGCATGCAGACTGACGGTGGAGATCCATTTCTCTCACTATTACGGTCTGCATACAGCTGTCGGCATGCTGAGTAGTGTGGAATGAGTAGAATCGGACAAGTTTTCGTTGGGCGACAGAAATCTTTTCTTGTGGGCCACAGTATAGTATATTTACTATCATTATTTAAAAACTTAAATAAGTTATAACCATAGAGAAAACAAAACCTTCCAATAATCTATATTAGTTTATAACTATTAATAAAAATGAAAAGGTCTTTGTTGGTAACCGCATCAATCGAGAACGGTTGGACCAATTTGGCTCTTTTAGATTCTGAGCGAAGAGATGAATGTATTGATTTTACAATGATGTGAGTTTTTTATATTTATTTATTTATTTATTTTTTGTGTCTGTCTTCACTGTCTCTTGCAGTAAAAGTGCTTTGATTTTCTCCAACAACAACTTTCCTAGTAGGAAAGTGAATCTAGATGGAGCATTCAGGAGGTCAAAAATTAAAATTCCCAATAGTTTTCAAAAACAACAGGAAAAACCGGAATTTTTACACAAAACTATTTTTCGAAAAAATCGATTTTGGTTTTTAGTGAACTCCTACAAAAATGACCATAGATACATTAAATTTTCACTGAATATTTGTGTAATTATTTTCTATACAACATAACATTTTTAAAATATTTTAATTTGTTTTGAACTATTTATAAGCATATGAAATTGGCGATTATTAGTTGTTGTTTTAAACTAATATTCAAAAAAAAATGTTCGCTCTATCAAAAATCTTGTAAATGTAATACAAGGTTCCTCTTAAGTTTTTATTAATTGAAATTAAATAAAAGTTGAGCGTAAATAAACAATATTTTTTATGAGCGTTTTAGAATTTGACAAGATTTGTAAAATCACGAAAATTAGCAAATTATATTTAGTTAGAAATTCATAAAAACATTTCTATTTAAGATTTAAAAATTTCATACAAGATTCCTTATAAGTTTGCCTCTTTTGTTGACAAAAAAAATTTTTACCGAAAAGTCAAATTCAATTTTATGAGCGTTTGAAGTTAAAATTTTTACATTGGATATTCCTCGATTTTTCTTGTAGCCATTTTCTTATTTTGTTGTAATTCAAAACAGAACTACTGTAGGCTCTTGAAATTTACATCAAATATTTATTTCATCAATTCATATACTTGATCAAATTTTCAAAATATTTTGACTTGTTTTAAGCTGTTGACGGACATTTTCAATTTTCATTTTTTTTAGAATTTGTTTTCTTTAAATGTCAATAAAATTGTATTGGTTCGATCAAAAATCATGAAAATGCAATACAAGGATCCTGATGTATTGTTATAATAGCAGTTGAAAAATATTAAAAACACATTGGCACAATAATTGTTTATAACCATTTAAAGTTCAAATTTTGACAATATTAATTATCAAATTGAAAATGATTTTGTTAAAAATGTATAAAATGTTCAATTTTTTATAGCTAAGGATTTAAAATTTAAAACAAGATTCCACTTAAAACATTTTTTTCCGTAGCTAAAAAATCTAAAATGTATATGAATACAGTAATTTTGTACAGACATTTTAAGTCCAAATTTAGATAAGATTGCATATTAACACAAAGAGTAAAATTTATCATTTTGTTGTAATTTGGTTCTAAAACAGCCCAATTTTACATAATTATATTTAATATTTTTCCAGCATCACTGATAATTTGAGAATAATATTTATTCAACTTAATGACAATATAAAATATCCTAGACTGACATACCATCTCCGTCATAGACCTATAATTGCTATCAACTAAGAACTTAGTAGGTAACTTAGTTTATAGGTCAATGGTCTCCGGTCAGAATCGTTTTTCGTATACAATGATAATATGATATCACTGAATTCAAATTTAATACCATCCATTACAGCTACCTCCTAGACACCTAATATACAGCCGAGCGACATCCACTTTTTACAGTTAAGGCTTAAACATTTCGCTATACCTCCCTATATGTTTACCTTAATTTTATTTTTTATTTGCATCATGCTTTAATTTATTTATTCAATTTGCTTCTCTCAGATTTTGAGCGTAGCCATGAATGTATTGATTTTACAATGATGTGTGATTTTTTAATTGTCTGTGACTGTGTAGTGTTTAGACAATAAGTAGTCAAAATAACTCTTCAATTTTTAACTTCAGTATCTTTACTGATGGGAAAATGAATCTAGTACTAGTTGGTGCATTCGGAAGGTCGAAAATTTAAATTCTCACTAGTCACTAGGTCTTAAAGGTATATGTAATTAATATACTTTTTTTTTAAATTAATATCGGTAAAAGAATTTTCACTTCGTCAAAAAACTTTAAAATGTAATGTGATGTTCCTCCTAAGCTGTTGTAAGTAGAAATTAAAAAAAATTGAGTTTAAGTTAACAATAATTTTTTATAGGCGTCTAAAGTTCGAATTTAAAAAGTTTGTAAAAATCACTAAAATTAGCAAATTATTTTGAGTTAGAAATTCGTAACATTTTTTTTAAATTTATAACTCATTTTTGAAAATTTAATACAAAATTTCCTTACGTTTTCCAACATTTATCAAAAGAAAAAGTCTTCGGAAAGCCAAATTAATTTTTTACGAGCATTTGAATACCCCTATAAATTTACAAATTATCTTTCAATCATTCTACAACCAAAAAATCAAAAAAATATATAAACACAGTTCTTTTTCAGTTATTTTAAGTTAGTTATTTGTACGAAGTTACATATTTGAACTACGAATAAAGATTTTAGTAATTTTGCTGAAATTAAAAAATATTATTCGTGGGTAGGTAGGTACTTGAAACTCTCAGAGTAGGCATTTATTATATTTTATATACACAATGACATTTTAAAATTGCAAAAATAATTCGACAAAAATAAATTTAAATTACTATAGGTATTAGTATTAATGACTATTATAAATCATATTTAAATAAATTATCCAAATCACAATAATGGGTATCACTATCATAAAACATACATACTTAGTAATAAGAATAACTAATATTGTAGGCTGGCGACCGTCTTCGCTCGGAATCGTTTTCTATGTACAATAGTTTTATATTTTATGTAGGAAGTCGTAACTCGTATAATAGTCATAACTCATAAGTATTAACAAATTTAATAACAATATAATATGGGCATATGGATACTGAATTATTCTAAGCACACCCCACCCCCCCTACAATCGTGTTTGACCGCTAATTGAATTATAGCAATTTTGTCTTCTTATATCTCTATTCTCTAGTCAGTTTATCCCTATCGTAGACCACGGATATATATTTGGGTTCGACGTCATGGTTTAAAATATATTATAATTTATGATATATTTTTAATATAAATTTTTTTTTAAACCTTGCTTGACGTAACATGTTATTGTATTTATTAATTATTATTATTTTTTTTATTGTTTGTTCGCAGTGATCGTGTTTCATATTATTATATTATCGTGTTATCACTTATCACTGTATACTTGTATACCTTAGATCATATACTAGTATATGATCTAAGTTGTATACTGATCAGTGATCAGAGCTCAAGGCTTATATAGATAATATTTATCTATAATTTTATCTAGATTCTTCTTATCAGAGATCAGTCAACGAAGTCTACACACAGCGAAAAACTGAAAATTTGTATTATGACAATATTATGTTCATAATTTGTAATGAAAATAGTTAAAATTTCATTCTTTGCTTTGTCTGTTATTTGAATAATTAATAGTATTTACATATTAAATAATTCAAACTTTATACTTAGATATTTTTGATTTTATTTTATATTTTGTTAATCAGATTTTATTTTTGATTTCACATAATATTATAATGAACAGTAACAAGTCATTAGAGTCATTAAGAAAAATTTTTAATTTTTCAATCAAAAGTAATACACACAAAAAAATTTTTGAAAAGGTAATATTAATTTTGTTGCATAATTATTTGTAGTACCTTACTAGCTTTCTAATTTTTTATTGTACTATTTAAACCAATTATAATAATATATCGGGTGTATTTAAATATTTTTACTTGTTAATGCATAAATAATAGTAATTTTAAATTTTACTGTGAAAAAAAATAAAACTTATAATAAAAGTATACATGTATTTGATGTATTAAGCATTAATAGTTTTTATTTTATAAAAAAACTTGTTACTTGGGAGTTGGATCTGAGAATAAAATGAAGGTGACACAAAATATGTAATTACCTATACGCATAAAACAAATATAAATTAGTTTCTCATAGCTTTAAAAAGTGATTAACCATAAACTATTAACATATTAAGTATTATTAGCATTTACTATGAAAACAATAAAGCAATCCACTCTTCTGTAAATGAAGTATCTAAATGATAAAGAATCTTTGAAATTCTACGAGGAGGGCATTAACCCCTTTCGCTCTTCTTGTAATCGCCTCTATATGTACTCAACAACTTTTTGACACTCAATAAGACCAGACATTCTAAATAAGCAATATAACTTTGTTAAAGAACAAAGAATAATCATATCTATACCTATATATATATATATAAACATTAACCAAGGTATAAATGTAAAGTAATATTCAATAATATCCTTAAAGTAATTGTTTAACCAAAATAGCTGGTCTCATACAATGCAAAAAATAATAATTTAAATGTATACCTACATGGTTTCTTTAATGTTATAATATATTTGTTGGTATTGGTTAGTTGCAGTGACGTGCTCATCTTTTTTGGAAGGGGGAGATATGAATTTTTTACTATTCTCAGACCACGTTATGTATACATTCATTGCTTTATCATATATTTTGTTTAACAAAAATAAGTCATGGTTAGACAAAACACCCTCGCCTCCTATCAGCACACCTCTATGTAATTGTAAAATAAAATTTTTATTTAAAATTATAGATTTTTAAGTCTGACTGGTTCACAAATTAAATTGATTCTATACTTCCACAAGGTGAATTTAATATCAGGTGGAAATGGCCAATGTGTTGCTGAGATGGTTGTTGAACAACAACATACCAATGAATATGGTACACTCCATGGAGGTTTTACAGCTGCTGCCGTAGATTATTTGTCGAGTTTGGCTGTATTGACTCATCCGAAAATTGTTGAGAACATTGATTCAGCGCCTAACAGTGGTGTTTCAGTTGATATTCATGTTTCGTATGTATATTTTTATTATTACAATTTATTTTTTTTAATTTATTTCCAATAAAAATGTTTATAATTTCTACAAAGTTTATTAAATAATTGTTTCTTGTTGATGATCTATAAATAATAATATTAATTTATAATTATGTATTTTTTTCTCCACACAAGCTTGTTCAGGAAAGTCCTGTATCTTCTTTTAAGATTAAAAAAAAATAAAAAAAAATAGGTATCTAATCCCATTCATTTTACATAAGAAAATAAAATTTTTTTCGATCGATATAATTAGATTTATCATCAGTTTCAAATAAAATATAATATTAAAAAAAAATTACTATTTTATGTACCTACATTTTATTAATTGTATTATTATTTGTTTCAGGTATCATAATTCAGCAAAAATTGGTGACAAAATAGTTATTAATTCCGAGACTGTTAAATTTGGGAGAAATTTAGCATTTCTAAAAGTGACATTATTAAGGAAAGATGATAATGTTATCTTAGCTCAAGGTTCACACACTAAGTTTGTAGGATAATATGAAAAGTTGTGTTGTGTTATGTAAAATGGGCTGTTTGAAAAAAATGTATTATGGCTATTATACCATGTATGATACCAACAAACTTATTTCAGTTGAATAGTAAAAATTGTTTCTTTTTTATACATACTGTTTAGACGTTGTGTTATTTGTTTTTAGATTTTAATAAAATATTTAACTTTTTACCATATTATGCTTACATAATAGATTATTTTCTACATTTAACCTTGTCAACTATTTATTTATTTTTTTGAAATAATACAATATGCATTAAAATTGTTAGCAAATTTAGAGGCGGGTAATTATGGACTATTTAAAAATATTGGTCAATTCACAGGCAAATTTGCGTCGGTGCATATGTACATGGCTTTATAAACTAATTTGACCAACATAGACAAATTGCTTGTGGTGGATTGGATATAGCACTTGCTATAATTCGATAGTGATTCAAATTACTCATCCTGAAAACTCCATGAAAAATTTGAAATGTTCACAAAATCAACTAAGTAGTTTTTGAGTACCTATACAAGCTTCAAACGTACATTCAACTCCCATATTTGTTTTAAGATGTAATTTCTTTAATTGAAACCATAAACATGGCAATTTGATGCAAGCTTTTACCTGTAACTAAAGACAACCTAATTTCTACTAATTATTTCTCATGTACCTAATCAATAGCAACCATTTACAAATAGAATGTCCATCATAAATCTTAAAATTCCTTTTTGAGCACCTCTCTGAGTTAGAGCCACCGGGTCTAATTGTGAACCTAAACCTTCTAGGGAACTACTCAAACCCACGCAAAAAATATGCTTCCCACACGGAAAGAAGAAATGTATATATAATAATGATTGATGAAGGTAAATAAAAATAAAAAATTATTTTTGCTTGGATACAAATAATGTTAAGTAGTAAAGTACAATATTTTAGATTCTGAAAAAAGTGATAAATGTATTGATTTTTATTTTTTATTTTAAATGTTTTGAGACTTGATCGTCTTTTGAAGCAGTAAAAATGCTTCAATCTTCAACTTCAATAACATTTCTGGTTTCAAAAGGAAGTTGGGACTTTGGGTTTTTAAGAGAAAAATTTCATATTGGGTAGGAAAAATTCCCAGTATTTACATACTTTTATATTTTTTATGAGTGTCTAAAGTTGAAATGTTGACTTACTACAAGAAAATGCTTTACAACTTTCAACAAAACTTGTTTGAAAACTACGAAAATGTGTAAATAATTTTGTGATGAAAATGAATAATATTTTTGATTTGTATACTTAAGGCTTAAAATGTTAGAACAAGAATATTCACTAGTTCTTCTTGCAGAAATTAAAAGAAAAGTTAAGCATAAGACCTCATCTATTAACTTTTTAAGACTGGGTACCCGCCTATTTGAATTTTGGACTTATTCACCTAGTTTGAACTCGAGATTTATAGGTTACCAATTTGAACGACATAAGGATTAAATATTCTAACCTATTTAATAATGGTTTCTCTTTCTCCTCAAATGGATTCCAATTCTTTTGTTGTTATAAGAAAACCTTAATCGTAAATACTTAAAACATTCCAGAATTACTTCAATTATCATTTTCAATACAAAATTACATTTTCAAATAACTTTTCAGTCAATTAGCTTAAAAAAATACCAAAATGGTTCTGTATAATTAAAAATATTAAAAGAATATACAAGAATAAATTTTTTTTTTTTAATTAGTTATAAATTATAACTTATTAATTATTATAAAGTATGAGACAAATACACGAAAATCAGGAAAATTCGAAAATAATCATATAGATATAGGTAGTAAAAATATTTAGATAGGTAAGTCCTCAAAAATCTATTTAACATATAGCTAGTATAATACAAGATTCCTAATGAGTTCTACTAATAGTAATTTAATGAATTGCACTAATAGTTTTTATAAGAATTAAGAATTAGAATTTCAAAAAATGACGAAATTGTATAGGTGTTATTTAATCAGAAAAAAAACCATTTTAGTTATTTTGTTGTAACTCAAAATATATTAATTAGAGGGACTTGAAATTTTTTACTATAACGAATAATATGATTTTCATCACTACGAAATATTGAAAATTTGCAACCTATTTGCACTTCAAGGAACGTTAGTCAAAACTGGGATAGGTCATAAATTCCAACTGGAAACTTTTGGAGACATTTGTCTTATAGATGTTTGCAAGTCACTAGTAAAAAACTGGAGCCAATTTAATGGTTCTTCAAAAATAAACAAAATTAACTGAGGAACAAAAAGTTTTAATTTGTTACTTGTGTCTTGTAGACCAGTAGAATTTGTCATGGGTAGGTCCAGATAATTTTCAAAACACTGAGGCGTGGGGGGCTTGGCCTCCACATCCCCAATTTCTATTTATTAAATAAATATACCATATTAAAATGTCGAATTGTTTAATTTTTAATTATTTTGTATACTATATATTTGTATCATAAACTTTGTAATAATAATAAAACCATCATTAACTAATTAAATATGTAAGCAGTTCACTATTATAGTTATCTAATAAATTGCCGATATAGGTACTTATACCTAATTACATTTTCATGATTTCAACAATTTAAAATGTATACTTCAGGTTTTATTTATAAAACACATGATAACTTAAGGACTGTTAACTATTTATTGTAATTAAATAACATTTTATTGTGAGGTATCAAAACACATCTAATAGCCTAGGACTTAACGTCATTTTATTAATAATTGTATCCTCACATTGAGCGATGAATAGACATCAATGCCAGTTCATTTAGTCTATCCTAAATACAAAACAAATTAAATATACTGTATAGTTTATAACTTTTAGAATGTATCCTAAATAACTTTATTCATAGTTGATCTAAGATAAATGTTCAACTTTTTAAGGTTGAAAAACATATTTTGGGAGAATCTGTAGATATTAGGATTGTAAGTTGATAACAAAAAAAAAATCACGATATTAATTAAAAATGTTGACAGTTGAAAAGATATTTTTTTACAAAACCCTTTGTATGATGACATTTTTTTTTAATTATCTAAAAACAAAAATTTTAACATGTACGACATACGAATAAGAGTTAATTGGAGGGGTCTGGACTCCATGGATGGAGTGCGGACTTATGGATCTCCCTCCCCCCGTAAATACTCAATGGTTGTAGTCTTGTAGACTACATTACGTAGACAAATTCACAAAATTCTGACAGTCACTTCGTTCAACAGACTTACGGTTGCTAACAAAATATCCAAAAACCAAGAATTAATTATGTAGGCCCTCAAATATAGCAACTATTGTCATGAACGTCTGCAAGCGGATGTTTTTAATGTATGCTTATGTAAGCCTACTAAATAAAATATCATATTTTATGAATGTATCTATTATATTTTTTTCATTTTTGTTTATGTTTAATTCACGCTTTATAGCAGAAATAATAAGTCAGTCTTCAATTTGGATATTTTCTGAAGGGAATTCGGATTGATAGTTGGCACTTAGGTAGGTCCAAAATTCTCATTTTTAACTTTCAAAATATTTTGGTTCTATTTACTTTGGGCTATTTATTAATTTTTATTTAAAGTACATATTCAACTGCGTTTAGTTTATTTTCAGTTATGCGTAATACATTGTGTGTTTTAAAATTAAAACATAATAGTTAAAAACGTTTTTTCGTTAAAATATCTAATTTCGTTAAAATTTGATTTTAAAAAATATTTATGAAAAAAACTGTGTTTATTATTATTATTTTTTTATGGATACAGTGTAAAATACTAACTAGAAAACTTATTTTCAATTTTTAATTCTTACTCATAAAAATTAAACATTTTATAAATCGGGGATTACAAAATTATTTACAAATATTATCAAAATTTGAACTTCAAATATTTGAAAAAAAAATTGTGCCTATATATAATCTTATATACATCCAACTTCTGTAGAACTTTGTATTACATTTTCAAAGTTTTAGACAACGCAAACAATTTTTTATTTAAATTTTACATAAGTGGACTTTTTTTTAAATTAGTCTTTAAATAGCTCAGAAAGAGTAAAATTATCTTTACAATTATACGTGTTTAGGAAAAGATAATATAAACATCTGATGAAAATTTAAAGTATTTACTGTTATTCATTTCTGAATTAGGTAGGTAGTTACAATTAAAAAAGAAAATCGTTTGATAAGAAAATCTTATTTGTGTGAATATTCAATTCCGTTAATATTTAAATTTCAGACGCTCATTTGTGGAATTACACATACCTTTTTTTTTATTCCAATAACAACTTATGATGGACCTTGTATTACATTTTCAAACTTTATAGGTAGGTACGATTATTATTATTAAAGTAAGTACGATGAATATAGAGTACATAATGATAATATTTCATAAATTTTTAACTACTAACTAATTTCTAAATGTTCAAGATTTTGACTTCAAAATTTAAACTTATAGCCACTTATATTGCGACCATATATTTTCGACATTTTTTGATTGGTGTGCATAAAAAATATGTGAGGAACATTTTATTAAGAAACATTTTTAATCGATATTTATAGAAAGAATAACTAACGAGTAACGACTTTCTTCGAAAAATAGCTTTTTTAAAGATATTTTTTTTTGTTTCATCTGGTTATTTTGAAAAGTACTTAAAATTCTTAACTTTTTACCCTCAAAGTATCTACAAGATCCAATTTTCTATTATAACCGATAAAGTTGAAAATCGAAGCCCTTATAAGTTATAGGTGATAAGAGATGATTGATTACGAGGGATAGAATCAATTAAAACACAAGATCATTATAAAAATAATATATTCATAGCTCTGCTCAGAATTCTGAAATTAATTATGTTGAAAGGAAGAGATTAATCAAGTAATCCAAACAATGTTAAGTTAAATTAATAAAAACATTTTTTATACATTAAGTAATAAACCATATACCTAATAATAATATAAAATGCACTCAAACTATATCGGCAACGGGTCGCATATCTCGACTAACCACTAACGTAAGAAACTATATTATAATAATATACTATATTATACTATAGCTAACATTTGTAACTGCCGCATGCACACAATATTGCAAATATGTCACCTCTGCATTTTCGCTTTCCTACTAAATATATAACTATATAGCTAATCTACAGTCTGACAATGCTACTTATTGTATACAATCTACAGGGTGATAAGTGATAACTAAATTATAATTTAATATTTCAACAAATTAATATAAATTTCTTCTAGATTATAGGATATCAAATTTATTTCACATGGGTAATTTTTTTATAATTTAAGTAATGCAAATAGCGCTATACATGTGCAATACATAGCCACACAAATTGGAAATTGGAAGACTATGTATATTAATGTTTTTCAGCATGAAACAAAAAACATCAGATTACATCTGTATTAGACAAGTTAATAAAAATGATTTGTATAATTTATCAACTGAGTGATATTGTACGATACATTTCAAGATATCAGAACAGAGTATTTAGCAATTGTTGTGTTGCATATTCAGCATTTATATTACATTATATAATACGAATAGACCGTATAGTATTTATATTCACTACAATAAGAAGTATCATGTTACGATCGGTGGGGACTGTCCATCGATTATTATTGAGTAGAATTATAATGTACACCATTACAATTTATGCTGTTAATAATAAAGGTCAATAAAACAAGTTTATGTTATTATTTATGTTAATAATATCTAACCTGTTGAATCATTAATTATGCACAATGTATTAGGTTGGGCACATAGTATAAAATATATTATAATGCTCTCAAACTTTTTCCAACTTGCCAAAATATAATTTTCAGTATGGCAAGTAACAGGGGGCGGGATTTAAACTTAAAACAACGCATGTTTAGTTTTATTTTTTAAATATATTTTATAATAATTTATAAGTCATTATTATAATTTTATGTTACAGTGTTACTGCACTAACAAGCAATAAAGACATACAGTGTGTAATATGTTAGTGAATTATGTGAAGTAATAATTTTAGTGAATAATATACATAGACAGAATACCTTTGGTTGCCTATTTCCAACACTGTGTGCTAAAAATTTTATGACTGAAAGTCATTTAAAAAAACGTTATAATTCTTTTAAATGTCAGACATGTATCGACTCCATGATCATAGTTTAATTTGTTCAAATGCAACAATATCATCAATCATAGCATCCTGCATTTAGTAATAGCAAATTTAAAAAGAAACAAATCAAAAAAATTAGAACTGTAAAAATTGAATAGTATTTTTATTTAAATACCAAAAAATTAGTAAGAAGTTAGGCAGACATGGTGACTAATGAAGAAGTACTAGAAAAGCATGGATCAAAAAGAGAAGAGATGAATGGACAGGATATAATGAATTATTGGGTTTAACTATAGAATAGAATCACAGAGGAAGATTTTAATGATTATTTACATCATATAGTGACAGACCATGGGTGTAGTTCATATGAGGAAATTAAAAGGAAAACATTGAATGAATTGAATAAACAAATGCTGGAAATCAATCTTTGACATAAACAATGGAATCAAAAATTGTATCTCATTTATTTATTGGTTTTTTTTCTTAAGTACACTTAAAAAAAACAACATTTAGTATATCCAAGAATGAAGAATCCAGAAACAATCATCTTGACGATCAATTTTGTAAATTCAACAGCGGTTTTGAATGTATTCAATAAATAATAAACTATAAAGATATTAATTCCTATACTATTTTTTTTTTTTGAAAATTAAAAAATTGACTTTCAATATCTTCATATGTCTAAAAAAAAAATTTCAACTATCATGTATTATTGTGAATGTAAAGTTCTAAGTTGATACTGTGGTCATTATTATGAATGGAAAATGTTCAATTGAAAACAAACAGTAGTTAAGTGATGAAAATAATTTACTTCAAGATTAACATATAATATTAAACATACATTTTTGAATATGAGTATAAAAAACTATATATGTTTAAGTATAATAATCATAGGCTAGTACATGGCTTATGCAGAGTGAGAGCTTGCATCCCCTATGGGCTGGGGCAGACATTTTTTTAGAAGGCATAATATGAATGAAGTCCAAAAAAGAACAAATAACGAAATTTATAAGTACAATCTAGGTTCACGGCTTGATTATATGACGAGAAGTATGAAATAAAATTATATACCCTTTTCAATACACATGTATTTGTAACCAAATATTGTTTTTATTTTTCAACATTAATTTTTTTTTGAAAAATTATATTTTTATAGCCAGTAAGAAGCAATACAAACATCAAAAGTTGTAGTAAATATTTTTAAGGCAATACTATAGGCATTTATATTTTTGGGGAGAACATTTTGTTACTTGAATACCCTGCATCTAGTCTGCGCCGCCTATGATAATAATAATAATAATAATAATAATAATAATAATAATAATAATAATAATAATAATAATAATAATAATAATAATAATAATCATATACTAAACTACAAATTTGGAAAAAAAATTCTGAAATTGTATATAATAATAAAATATCAAGTATATTGGTTAATACAGATGATTGACGATAAATTGTACTATAAATAAAATAACCTTAAGCACACAATTAAGAGGACACTACACGGACATTTGTTGTCTCAAATCATTTTTAAACTTATGAAGATAAATGTGATCTGTTGAGTGCAAAATTTGTTATGTTTTGCACTTGTAACACAGAGTCAAAAATGTCTGTTAGCATCATCTTAATTTTCAGTACTTTTGATAAACAAAAGATATATTGAGTTGAATATTGTTGTACAAACTATAATAAATGAAATACATTTTTTTGAATCATATTTTAACTGATACTTCTACTTTGAGTGGTATATGCAAGTCTAGAATACACCCCAATACTATATACTTCTGTTTATAATTTATCATAATAGACTATTACTAATACTAAAGAAATCAATAACCAAGCTTCTAAAATTAATATTATTATAAATTTATAATATTTGAATTGAGTAATATAAGGTATGTAATAATGAATAATGATAGAATAGTAATGTTTTTGATAATAATAGTACAACTAGATGAATTATATACCTATTATAATAAAAAAATAAATTACTATAAATAGTAATAATATTAATTGAGAGTATAATGTCTGTTGACTACTAATAACTACAAACAATTAATATTAAAAATAAATTCTAGTCAAGTAAACCAGTAATATATAACTAAAATTAAATGATTATGAATTAATAATATTATTTGTGTATACCATCTTTTTTGGTTACAAATAACTACTGCAAAATAATACAAAAATAAATGCTATTAAAAGAAACTAATACTACATAAATAAAATTATATTGATTAAAGCTAATGACATAAAACATTAAATTGTTCGGCCATACAACACATCTTATACATACATTGTATGATTATAAATTAAAATAAACTTTAGACAAGCAATAAGTATAATATATTTATATCACAAATATTTTGGATTTAATAATAACTTAACAACAGTATGAAATCCATTATTCATTGCTATTGTCTAAAGTATATAAAATCAATAATATGTATGACCGAGTAAAAAAATCAAAAAAAAAAAACATGTGTATTAGTCATACAATAATAGTTACCAATATTTTATTTAATGTTAAATAATGGCTCAGAATTGGAGAAAATAAAGTGCATACTAAGTTTACAGTAGAGCAAACATTGAACTAATGAGATAAATTCAATAAAAAATTGAAAAAATAGATTGATACACACTAGATATGATCTCTCTAAAATCTCATCTAATCTAGTGAAAGTATAATAAGAATTTAAAATAAATGGTTATGGTATAATGCCTAGAAGATCAGTAGAAGATTAATATTAATATTGTTGATTTTGTTGTCTGGGATTTAGTACAATAATATCTTGTGTGCAACTGGTTTACGGCAAATGGGACAAGGTTGTCCAGGGGCCATGCGATCACCGCACAATTGGCACGTTCCATGCCCGCACATAAACACCATATTTTTTAATCGATCCAAGCATACGGGGCACATATTCTTGAAAAAAAAAATCATTAAAATGTTGATTATAATAAATTATTTACTATAATATTATACAATATTATACACGTACCATTTCCTTGAGATCATTCAACTGCTGCATGAGCTTTTCCACTAGTCCTGGCTCCTGAACATTGGGCGGATTTGCTACCACCGCCACATCCATGGGAGGGTTTTGCCGTTCTTCTGGTACTGATGCATTCGCAATGTCAATTTGCTCCTGTTCCAATTCGTTAGTTCGCTTGTCTCGTGACCGAGACATTGTGTTATTTATAACTGACAGATCACATGAAGTGGAAGGTTTGCTGTTATTGCTTCCACCAGCAGCTACGTTCATCTGATCGCTTGCAGTAGGTGCTCTGCTGAAATAAGTAAAAAGATGATTGGGATTTATCTACATAATAATTATTATACTAGTGATGATATAATTGAACTATACCATTTTGATACAAAGAAGATTTGGAATTTTTTAAAAGTTTAATAATGTTTTTATACATAAAGGGCGATTTACAATGTATTTTTGATACAACATATAATTTATGTTTACTATATTTTAAGTCTTGGTATAAGGTAATATTTCAACGGGTAATTGGTGGTCAAATTATTATTTAGTGTCATACCTTTTTGATTATTTAAAACATAATTTAGTTTGAGGAGATATAAACCAGAAGGTGTATTTTACAGCTATATGTTTTTAACTTTTAAACACTCAAACTTTACCTGTTATTACAATTCTCAATCACTGTGCTGCCGTTATCATTACTAGTGATGCTTAAAATGTTGTCATCGTCCACAAAATCTGGTTCCTGGTCATTGCTGTTGTTGTCAACGTCATTGTCTATCTCTCTCATTACATCACTATCCACTCTCTCGTCAGACACGGCACCAAGAGGCATACCGATTCTCGAAGTAGAGGGCTCATCTTGCAAAAGAACAGCCGGGGTATTATCTTCCATCAACATCATACCAGGCGCCGGTGGAGGAATCCCGATGCTCAAAAAACGGTTTGCGACTGACGACGATAGTTTAAGGAATTCTGCATCACTTCGAGTAGCGAATGTCTTGGAGCACTCTTTTGGGGGATCTGGCTCTCTTGATAACAGGGGGGCGTATGCATCGTGATACGGCGCTTTCATAGAATAGTCTGGCGGCATGTTGTTAAGAGTCAGTTGAGATTGCTGAGGCCTCTCAACAGATAAAGCCTGTGAATTGGAACCATCAGTTTCACCCACAGCGGTGGCAGTGGTGTTAGTAGTTTGAACGTTACGGGCTTGAGCGGCCGCATCACAGCATTTGATCAAAGCACGGCGCAAAGGCTGGTCGGCCGGGCAAAGATCCAACGGCGTTTGTCCACGGTTGTTGCGCACCCATAAATCAGCGCGACCGGTGCCAGCAAGCACGCAAACAACTACGGTGGCATTGGGTGGTGGCGGGATCACGTTTCCATTGCTTGGGGAGGCTGGTGCAGACCGCGAAATCGGGCCACGAATGGGCCGTCCAAAAATATTTCGTCCTGAAACCGCAGTCTCACCGCCCGGACGCCCTTCTTCGTCCACATGATGATCGGAACTAGGCCCTGATCTACGTGAAGGTCGTTCACCAAGATCCCGACTAGCATTACCGGAAATAGCCATGGCGGCCGCCAGGGCTGCGGCGCGTGCTTCTCCAGCCAATCGCGGACCGGTTTGGTCGTCGACGGTCTGCTGGCGTATAGTTCGCAATGGAGATTTTTTTATCCGACGGCGGTTAATCACTTTCTTTGATTTATTATTTTTGATCGGGGGTGGCATGTTGTTCAAGACGGGCTGAAAATAAATGAAAATAAATAAATTAGTCCGTTTTTTTTTTTTTTTTTGGCAGCAGTATAATATTTTATGTACAAATAACAAGACTTACCGCGGTAGCAAAGTCGCTATCTTTATTGTCATCAGCATCATTGTCACTGCTGGAATTTATGCGCAAACGTCTAAACTCTTCGGCTGCTCCAAGGAGCTCGGCCATCAATCTTTGCACCGCGGATACCGGCGAAGCGAACATTTCTAAGTACGCGGGACCCTTGGCCGCCCAAAGTGCCGTCGCCTGTTCAACGGGACATGGATGGCTCGTAACGGTACGACTGACTGTTGAATACATGTTTTCACTGTCGTCTGATAGTTCTCGATAATCGCGTACGACCCTGTTGCCGGCGAGAATGTTTCTCAGTGATATGCCACCGCCACCGTCTGACCGGAACTTAGTGTTGGGATCCCTAGGACTGTTTCCCAAACCCACTCCAGGCGGAGGTGGTGTGCCGACTGTCTTGAGCTGCAGCAACGTGTGATGGCGCAAAGCCTCGTGCATGGGCGTATCACCGTCCTTATCGGGGATGTTCGGGTCGGCGGAGTGGTAAACGAGGAGCTACGAAAAATTGTCAAGAGGAAAATTCACATAAGTACAGCAATAGTGAGTAAAATGAGTACATCGATAAATTATCGCCATAGCGTTATCTGTATATACGACTCTACGTACCTTAACGATATCTGCGTGCTGACGTTCCACGGCCAGGTGAAGGGCCGTCTGTTTGTTGACATTTCGTTTGTTCGGGTCGGCCCGTCCACGGACCAGCAGCAATGACGCCACACGGTTGTGATTGTTGAGAGCAGCCAAATGCAGAGCAGTGTATCCGTCATCCTTGGGCTCATCCACGACCCAGAAGCGATGGCCGGCGGCGTTGTTGCCTCGGCCGCCGTTTGTGGCTATCCAGTCCAATATGATGGCGGTAGCTCTATATCGGCATAAGACAAATTTTCGGCGATTAGTCAAGAAGAATGATGATAAATGACACGATACTTATAAAAACGATGTTTCCAAGTACATAATATTATATTAAATGCATATAGTGAGAAACCACTGCCGTCTTTTCATGTTAGGCAAGTGAGAAAATGTGGTGGCCCACCCGGTATGTTAATATATCAAAATGTATTAATATTGATGTCAGTGCAAAAGGGCGATGTATCAACGCCGATGTGATGTGATGTAATCTAACCGAATAATACGACGGTGCAAGGGGGGGGGGATTGAAGGGATCGGCAGAAGCCTTTGCAATCCACGAGAGCTTTATTAATGCACAAATAATCCTCAGCATAAACATACATATTTATGGCATAAATAGTATGCACATACATATATATATATATACAAAAGGCAATCCTTAGAACGTTTACAAATTTTGTTTCAATTCGAACTTGTAAATGTTTGTTCCCACTTTTTTTTTTCAAAGTGAGCCATTGCTATAGACGCCATCAAAGAGCAACATCGAATTTTATTCGTATAGAAGACATACGACAAAATATAAAGGATGATTAGTTAAAGGAAATAACCATGGTAAAATCAAAAACAAAATATTTCTGTTTTTTTAAGAAGAATTATTCTTTATTCTAAAATCGAATTAGATGTTTTTGTGGTCACCGCCAACAACCGCATTCGATGTTTCACATCAATAAAAGAAATTTTAACAATTTTACGGAAAGTCAGTTAAACGAAATTGCTGTGAAAAGGCCATGTATATTAAACATCAATTTATTAAATTTTGATTTTAGTAATATTATGATTTAAATTTTAGTATAGGTAGCTTGATAAATGAAGTTTCGTTTTGCATGTTCATAATTACATCACTTCGAAATATTACTTAAACACGCCATTGTCTTCAAGTGTATAAAATCATATTATTGGTTATGATTATGTGGATTTTGATTACTTATATTTAAAAAAATAACAATAAATATTAAACATAAAAGTCGGTTTTTTGATTCTAATATAAGTTAAGGAATATTATCTGCATGATTATTTTACTTTATGACGTGTATAGTATATAATATGTACTCATATAGAATTAACTAAAAACCAATAGAAAATTTTACGTATTTTTGATAACGTTATATTAAACACACACGTTCATAAATATTACATGATGGCATATTAATATATTATATACCTACTAAAGGATGCGTATATACATGTTGTACGGAAAAAGGCATAGTTATGCGCAGATGAGGTCACTCTGGGATGGCCCTAAAGTTATGCAACCATTGCCCATTGACCGCTATTGTTGTGACCCTAAAATTTGTATTGTTCATTTTTTTTTATTATTCTACAGCGTAATGGTCCGGGCATACATATACGTACTATCCAATAGTTATAGGTACGTTAATAGCATAGTGATATATAGCGTTCTAATATTTAATATATTAAAGCTGCAGGCGCTGCAGGTCATGCGTGCGTACATTATTATATTATACGTTGCGGAAGCTTTGTGTTTTCAATTTGCGCCAGATGAAAAAGAGAACCATGATGCGAGCGAGTAATCATATATACAGCAGAGGCTATCGTTGCCGCCAGCAGAGTGCCGAATCTCACAAAGTGGTTTTTTTTTATTAATAAATATAGTATATTTTTTTATCGAAACGTTTTTGGATCTGGGTAATTAAACTATTAAAGGATCACCAGCTTTCCTCTCGAGTTCATCGTTTTCTTTATATCAATATATAAATAGATTATTATTTATCTGTACACATGATTTTTAATATAGTACGTGCAATATCACATAATAAAACGTACCGAAATCGTCCACCCCACAAATTGTACATCCGCCACCGAATCGACACGTGTATAATGTATATAGCGCATCATACGTATAATGTATATTATATTATGCATATTTTAATTGGCTTTTATGCAATATTATATTATATAACATAATATAATATATGATTATTCGTTTGATGTTTTTGATGTTTCGAGCTTTTGAGGAGAGACCCTCTCCCGCCAATGGATCGGGACAGAAGACTCTATGCGCGAGGACATATTATTACCTACTAATTAATATTTATTTTATACACGCGTAGTACCATGGCCAGCCGAATTCGACGAATATATAAATATTCTTTAATAGAAGCAGTACACGTTCTTAAAGCTGATGAATTTGAACGGTCCAAAAATTACGTATGCGGCGATGGGTAAAAAATAACGTACATGGTAAAATTAATTTAGTCTAACTGACTTACTATGGTTACTAGATACATCGAAATTACTTACTTCACAAATAGTGATAGGGAGAATTCTAACCCAATTTGAACAGTAAATAATTCTTTTCAATTCCATTCAATAATATCGAAAATTAAAAATATTTGTATAAAAATCACCTCTACTACTTTTCCTCGAAAATAAGTCAATAGCAGTCATCATCAATACCTCTCCTATATTAGATGAAAATCTAGGGAAGCTACAACCATATATATGCGGGAATGGCACGATAATTTAACTACACTCAAAAATATTTTTATTTCATTTTGAAATCTTACTTTTAATGAAAGATAACAGTAAATTTATTTTATATTATTTCTAAATAATAATGAATATAGTTAGTGAATAGTTAAAAAAAAAAAGAATGTTTGAAACTTACCTACAGGGCTAAAGACATATTTTCTACTAAACAAAATGGTTTGTTCCATACTCTCAATATTCACGTAAACAAACAGTGTTGAAAGTTTTCCACGATGGATGAAATTAAATCAAAACAAAAATGGACCTAGATAGAGCCTGTGTTTTATAAAATTAAGAAAACAAAACACATACTCGAGGTATTAAAAGTTATTCAATGTTAAATACAGGAACAATAATCTCATTAAAAATGTAATGAAGTAGGTAGGAAAGTTCAGTTGTCAATTATTCAACGGACATAATATAAAAATATTCTTAAATACTTTAGGTTTGATAGGTTTTTGATAAAACACATTCTTTCCTTCCTTTACGATTACTCCGAAGAAAATGTTTATTGATATTATATACAACTGCCACATGAAATTTGTAATAACTTTGATAACAAAATATTGGCATAACGGCATAATACGTGATCCGAAAAATATTCGCTATACCTCTGATCCATATATTAAACAGTAACGCGCTATTTGGAAATACTTTTGGTTATGTTCTATAGCTAAATTACTGAGTAAAAAAAATGTTAATATTATTTTAGCACGTTTCGCGAGAATTTATTGATTCCGCCGAAACATCTTGTTTTAAAAAAAGTATTCATCGATTCTAGTGACTATTTATTCCGACGGGGTGGCGGTTACACTGTTCATATACTATGTATCTGTCGATTCTGCTGAGCTTTACATTTATTAAAATGGTAGAAAGAAAGCAATAAGTTTAAACTTTAAAGTAAATTAATACATTTTAACATAAACCATGTTTTTATTATTTATTTCGACAATTAAGTTAAAGTCATAAGGTTCAACTTATTAACGGATAATACTAAAATGTAAATAATAATGAAATATTGATAGAAACAATTGACAGTAATAATAATAATCAATAATATATAAAATAATAATATTTAAATTAATTTAATGTAATTCAACATTTATGGCTACTTTTTACCATTTTTATAAATTTAAAGTTCAACAGAATCAATAGCCAGCGGACTCGATATAAAATCGGCAAATCCGATAAACGCCCCGTTTCGTGGGTCACGCGTGAATAGGTACGGTTGGGTTTACTCTTTTAGTAAGTTAGAATCCAAGCATTATTTTTCCAACAGAACTAACTCGGCGCCACCGTTTATCTATACGTTTTTACTTCCCGTGCGTGTACAAGACAACGTCCCGGACGGAGGAAGACACATCTCCTGCAGTACGACCGGTGTATCATATATATGTATGTATGTAGTATATATATCGCATGGCACACGGGACTTTATACAAAAATAAGCCGATGGCAGAGGCGGGGGTAACGACCGTGCGTGACGGATTTGGCGGCGGTGTCGAGTTACCGCCTCATCGTCATCATCCTACGGACCTGCAGGGATCCTGTTCTCAAAAAGAAACGGAAAACGCTCGTCGAAAACATTGTAATAATAACGTTGGAATAATATTATGCTGGACGTGTCAGTATACACGTTGAGGGTAGTCCCCGATAGATACACCTGAAGGTAATAAAATACTAGTTACCATTATCATTTTGAAAAATAAATATGCAGTAATAATAAATACGAATTAGGTATATAGCACGAACGATTCCTGGGTCGCTGAAGTTACGTACAATGACCGACCGGCTGCAACTGAATTCGACGCGTACGATTTGGAATACCAGTCGGCGGTCAAGTATTATTAAAATGTATTATTAGCTTCGAATCTAAGAAATCCGACCCAATGGGATTTATAATACATTTATACCCCCATACGACATTGTTATATCATATTAAATAAAAAGTTTGGTGGAAAATTATTTTGTTTGTAAAAGTCAAAAGTTTTACAACAAATTATTCTTATGACCTTTGGCTTTGGCCCTACATATTCGTTTGGTGCACTGATTTAAACATCACTCTATTTTATTTTTCAACCGGATTACGTTAGATTGAATCGGGACTTTTTTAACAAACTAACTGTAAAATACATATCTATTCACAGAAACATTTCAATTTTTTAACCCTTCCGATACATTCATTTGCAGCACCAACTTATATTATTTTTAGTATCGCGAATCGTATTTTTAATGTCAAATATGGCCTATTTATTCAAGTCAATAGACCAAACAACTATGACTCTATAATAAAACTTGACTTAATATGAGTCATTTAAAATGTAACCATAACACATTTTTTTTTTATTTATTTAAGTTTTAAAATGTACACCTTAGCAAAAAAGTTAAAAACCTTTAACACAAGAGATCGAAACTAATAACCCTTTTTCCTAAGAGTAAATACGACATTATAATACGTGAAAA